ATAAAAACGGTATAAAGAACACCCGTCCCGTAAAAAAAAAAAACACAGCGCCACGGAGGATCGAACTTGCAACCTGCGGATTCCCATTCGAAGACGCTAACCACTGTGCCACACCAACATGACGTTGATCGCGTGTTAAAGACTTAGTTCCAATACAAACCTAAGGTTCAACTTAGTTATGTTTGTCGTGTACACAACATAGACAAGATCTACACCTGCTACTAAATATTGCACATTTATTAAACACAAGCAACTGCGGCCTGTAACGATCGCCACTATGTTAATGGCACTAGTGCTATTTTTTCTTTTACAATTCACAACTTCAAGAAAAAAAACCAAGTGGACTGGGGAGCAGCAAGAGTTTACCGGCGGGGTCTGCCAAGTTTAATATCCGTTTCGCGCTCGTTCTAAAGGGCGACATCTGCTCACGCTTTATGACGCTTCTAGGTTCATTCCATAGATACGCCCGCCTAATTTATTTGATTGAGTATTTGGATGCTTTTCGCGCAATGTAGAGGGCGGTCGCGCCAGCGCAATGCTGTAGCTCTTTCGCTAAAGCAACAACTACATAACGGCTTGGCCAAAACGAATGCAGTGTGCCGGAAACATTACGCTATCATATTGGTTCACCAAGCACACGAATTGCACGTCTGAGTTCTCGTACAAAAGCTAGAGAAGTGCCGGCGATAGTGACTGGCGGCTGTCGGTGAGAAGACACTTAATTACGTTCTCTGGGAGTGCTTTAATCGCATCGTATCGATGTTTGTTGCTTCTTGAGTGGACACCATACACAATGAAAAATGCTTCATTTAGGTTAATTGATGCCATATGGCTGCGCTGTATTGTCATACTTAATCGTCATAATCATGTATTCTGAAACCCGGAAGCACGGATAACACAATTGTACGGGCTCGGTCAGTAGGCCTAACCTTTGGTGGAAATCATGGTGGTAGAACATGTAGTGTACAGATCCCAGCTTTGTACACTATAAAATTGCACGCCATTATAAGCCCACCCATCATCTGCTTACTGCTTCCCAGCATTATCACGATGGTGGGCAGAGCTTCTCAGCTTGGTACACCATGTGGCCCACCATCACAAGCAGCACCCATCATCTGCTTAGTGCTTCCCAGCATTATCGCAATGGTGGGAAGAGTTTCTCAACTTGGTACACCATGTAACCCACCATAATAAGCACCACCCACCATATACTTAGGGCTTCCCAGCATTATCGCAATGGTGGGCAGAGTGTCCCATTATTGCCCACTATCTAGCCTCTGCTTTCCACCATTATTTGCACTTTACCCATCATGTGTACACCATATCAACCAGTATGTCCCAGCATAACCACCATATTTTCCACTACGTCCCACCATAGCCATCATAATTTCCACCATGCCCACTATTATTTCCACCATGCCCACTATTATTTACACTACTCCCACCATGTTTTCCAGTATCCACCATGGCAATTTTTCCGATAGGGTAGTTTTATTTGTTTTGGAAGAACGTATTTTAGCCTCCTTACAAACCCAGTTGTTTGAGCTAGTTTTCTCGAAGTGGGATTCACACGCTGTTCATAAGGTATAAAGGAGGAAAAAACTATTTCGAGGCACTTAAATTGTTCAACCAAATCTAAGCATCCTAAGGTCAGCATAATGTCGAAGGAAGAAAGAAGTGGTTTATTTTTGAGGTGGATTACAAAAGATTCTGTTTTATTCTCATTGATAACGCATGCACTTAGATTCTGACCATTTTTGTAGCTCACTCATGGTATGATTGCTATGCGTAACAAGTAAATGAAGAATATTTTGAGTAACAAGATGTTGGTATCACCAGAACAGATGATAAATTGAGCAGTGGTGTTGATATTGCAAATGTCGTTTAGATATACAATAAAGATCAATGGTTCTAGTATACTGCTCTTTGGAGCGCCAGAAGTAACGAGTGTTAGTTCAAATTTTATGTTGTCTATACAAATGGTCTGTTTTCTGTGCAATCGATATGATTTTAGGAGCAGTTGCGCCTGTCTACGAATGCCATAATATTACAAGTTTTGAAGGAGTATAGTGTGGTTGCTAAGATCATAGGCCTTCGAAAAATCTACGAAGGCACTGCACACACCTCATACACTATCTCCATGGCACACTTTACAATACGTCCCGCGTGCTTTTTGCTGCACATAGCTTTCATAGGGTTCGTCTCGCTCGAAGCACTTGCAAATCATGCCGAACTTGCTGGGCCCAGAAAATACGATTCGATTTCCCACTTACCCTGTTGCTTTCTTTACGCCATTTGAAACCCTACGATTATATGGTGTTACACGGCCCTCTGGTTTCTAGATATATATGAGGGTGGATGGGGGTAAGAGGGGTTGCGCATCTTCTCGTGAGTATGAAAGAAGGGTCTCGGCAAGGTCTGTTAAAAGCTAAGGGCAGAGACCGGTTTTGGTCAGCCTTCTTACTCGAGCCTTGAAACTAAAGTTGATCGGGTGGGTGCGTGACCGCGAGAAGGTGTTATGGAAAATTGCGGAAATGGAAATGCGGTGGTTTTGTTCGCGAGTTTTGAATTAGTGGAATCAAAGAGAATGGAAGGAGGCCTTTTTTTAGCGCGTGGTGCGGGCCAGTAAGGATTATTCCCAAAAACATAGCCCAAATACAAATTTCCTGCTAGGCCAGCCAAAATATCTCCGAATAGTATCTCCATGCACCTTCCGCATAGTGTAGACTGCCGGATCATCGTTTTTGCGTGAGTAGCGTTTTCTGTATTTGAATTACCAATGCTTCTCAATGCTTCGTTCTTTTTCCGCTTCTTCGCTCTTCGTTAAAGAAGAGTTACCTAGAAGCCCCAGCTCAAGCCTTACTTCACTTATCCTGGTAGTTCAAAGTATATACATTGAATGTGATGGCAACGACCACGGCAAGAATACATTCGGTCATTTCCTAAAATATTTTCAAAATAAAAGAATAGTTGAAATTTGTGCAGGCGTATTTTAACAAGAAGGTATAAGTAATACCATGAATGTTTATTGTATTGCAGTATGCTTTATTCACCCAGACAAAGTTTGTAATGTTATTCCGACTAAGAAGCACAACCCACCACGTATTCTTGGTTTTGCGGAACAAGAATAGGTGCAATACGAGACAAAATATGGTGTACTTTAGTAAAAACATTCAACGTCCTTGTAAGTACGTTTAATATTTAGTTGAAGGATTGCTTGTGGCTTGTGCAGCGACATTCGCCTAACATGGAACTCTGACTTTTTTATTCCGTGCTCTGCAGTAAAGATGAAGACAGTACCCAACACATTAGGCTAAGCACAGCACCTGCCCAAAGTGAATGTTCTCGCTTTAAAGAAATTCAACTCATAATGCCTGATAAATAAAGCTAAAAATGTTTTATAATATCTGCCACTGGTGGTGTAAACAATCATCAATCGATAGACAACTGTTATGATCCGAATGTTTATAAAGCAATATATTGTGACGGGGCAAGGTCTTGGCTTACAGGACAGCGGCCACCGAGAATCGGCAGCAGAACAAGATGTCCGAGTTGCCTCTCGTGCAAGCGCCTAACGCACAGGCGTCTTCTTCATCATCGCTAAGTGCCACGCTTGCTCCTGTCGATGATGCACCGTAACATCACTCCCCTGCGGCGGAAGCGCCGTCACGGCGCTTAGTACGGCGGCGACGAACGAGGAGGGTGATACGGTTTCAGTCTGGAAACGTGTACAACGTCTGTCTGGAGTGAGGTGGTCGAAAAGGCATTGTTTAGTGGTGCGATCTCGTAGCTCACGTCACTAAGTTGTCGTAACACTTTGTAGGGGCCATGGTAGTGTGATAGTAGCTTCTCTGATAAGCCGACTGGGCGGTTTGGTGTCCAGAGAAGTACCAGAGACCCTGGCGAGAAGTGCACGCTTTGGTGGCGACTGTCATAGTGGTCCTTTTGCTGCGCTTGCGACAAGTGCAGCCGATCACGGGCAAGCTGACGGGCTGCATGGGCTCGAGAAACGACATCGCTGGCGTACTCAGTAGACAAGGGGGCAGCCGAAGGAAGGAGCGTGTCAAATGGTAATGCTGGATGTCGGCCAAACAGCAAATAAAACGGCGAATAACTAGCTGTGTCGTGCCGTGAAGAATTGTACGCGAACGTGACAAAGGGGAGTGCTTTGTCCCAGTCACGGTGATCTGGCGAAACTTACATTGACAGCATCTGCGTCAGCGTTCGGTTCAGACGCTCGGTCAATCCATTTGTCTGTGGATTATAAGCGGTGGTGAGCTTGTGCTCAGTGGAGCAGGCGCGGAGAATGTCATCCACAATATTATTAAAAACAAAGACAGCGCTGCCCCTCAATTTTGTTACGCATCACCACTTAAGATCCGCACAATTTTGTAGTGCTGCGAACACTTTACACTGCAGCAGCTAACAGAAGAACGAAAACGGCCTAAAATTGAGCCCAAAGACTAATTTTGCCTCGTTACTTTGTTTTGAAAAACCTCTCTTTTTCGCACAAGCATTCACTACGGCGAGTGAATGTGTTGATGGAACACCATGACGGCTTCTCGTTGTGCCAAAGAGAGATGAAATCTGAAATCACCATAAGTATTCCCACACAATTTTACCTTAAATATGCTCACGTTTCCTGTATTTAGCGCTGAACGATGCTAGAAATATAAATAAGGATGCTAGGAAGATCACGTTTTCCCCCGTGTGTTTACCAAGCACAAGCATAATGTTACAATCGATATGTTTTCTGTGTGTCTACTGTACCATACACACTTCGGTGCCCAATCTATCAACAATGAACGCGCAGGTCACAATATAGCATATCGCCGACATTATTGCTTTAATATCATTCCGGCAATCAACATCAAGTACCACGTTAGATGTATGTTGGCCTTCTAAACAATGTGTCAGCATCGACTTTCTAACGGCGAGTCAAATATAATAACACAAAATACGACTACGTGTATTGGAGGAGGCCTGTCAATATCAGCTGCGTGATATCAGCAGAGTCTTGGTAACTATAAGTTCATCACAGCGTGTTTTTCAACATCATCTGAACGTGGGTCTACGTTTGGATGTGAGTATAAGCATACTTTGATATCGCTGAATAGTTTACAAACTGATCAAATCAAAATATTTTGCGTTTGTACGTCTCCAGTCTGGGTTTCCTTAAATAATTCTTCATTAGTAGGTTATGTAAAAGAATAAGGCGTTACCGCAATGAATCGTTTAAAATAACACAAGAAAAAGTGCTACGGAGTGCATCACACTGAGAACACATGGATAACGACCAACGAGCGGTCACTCTGGGTTGTCTCCAAACCATAATCGACACTATATGCAATATAACGCTTAAAATGTCTGTACGCAAAAAAAAATATCACGAAGTATCTGTCGTCGTGCTTCTCTAAACAAAAATCAGTTTTCTCTAAAGCACTGCCTAATGTATAGTTTACGGATGAATTCAGCAGAAAACAACTAAAAAATGTTTTACAAAATGATGAGTTACTAGCAACAAGAGTAAGAGAAGGGGCTAGTTGAAAAAACTGCGACAGTTCACATTCGTTCTGTGCGTTCCAGTGCAATATTTCCATGCGCCATACTTCGCGTTCGAGCAGAGTGCTGCTGAAGTCGATCTGTGATGGGCGATAGTACACGCTTGCTCTGCATGTGCTCATTTATGCATTCTTTGAGCTTGAGCAACACGCAGCAAGCTTAAACGTTGAAGATGTCGTTTCGCGAAAATTGCGCCGACGTGGTCATTGGTTGTGAGCAGAAATCTTCACCTTGTCCTGGATGAAAAAAATCTAGAAAGATGCAAATAAAATAAATAATAAAAATATTATATTAGGAGAGAAGATCCAACCCTGATCTTGTGCGTGGTAAGCAGGCGTTCCACCACAAAGCCACGTGTCTTTTTAAAGAAGATAGTATTTCTTGGGGACCTTCGACGCAAAAACTTTGGTCTGTCTGTCTGTCCGTCTGTCTGTCTGTCTGTCTGTCTGTCTGTCTGTCTGTCAAACCTTGACGGTACCAGACACTTTAAACGGCCGACCCCACCCGCAGCACTTGATATTGCTGAAACTTCAGCGTTCATACTTGTACGATTGTCAATTCAAAAAAGCAATTTTTGCGCATATCTGAAATACCATAACAACACGTATATATTCTGCATGTGCGTCTTTTACTGAAAAAGGCATACATGAGTTATTCTAAGGACCGTAGCGTTTATCACGTGGCGCTGACCATGCAACACTTGCACGAAAGGCAGATGTTTTCAACGCTTTGCTAAAACGAAGCGATGGTGGCACCTTCCCGTCGCCTTGCGTTTTACGCCTTATCTGCCCCGAGACAGGTGCGCACGCCCATCTCAGAGCCGCGCGTTTTGTTTTCCAAGATGGCTGCCAGATATCGCTCATGTCTCACGTGTGACGTGAATTGGTGAGGTCATTTGCTTCCGCTGCACGCTCGAGGCACTATAACGCAGTGCCTCCAAAATAGCATTAGCCGATTTTCTTGAGCAGAACATCAAATAGACGTTTTGTCCAATCACTCCAGACGCAATACTATCGTCTTTTGACGACATTTGCAGATTAACATGCTGATGCGGCCCAATTTTTTCTTTTTATTACCATTTTTTTTATACGCCACATGGGTCATTAGTGGACACTTTCTATATAAACCTACATTGCGTCTGCTTGAAAGTAAACTGACAATATCTTAGTATGCTTGGAAATGCCGTTAAAATAATTTTCATGTTTTACAAACACACACACGACTAGTATACAAGCTTTACAATACTGGACCAAGTTGTGAGAGTGGGCTGGTTGGTTATTCCTTACTGTTAGAACTTACGAGCAAGTAGTAGTAGCCGCGTGCACTATGCAGAGCAAATGCGTGGTACAAAAGTAAATTGGCATCAGAACACAGAACTTGTGATGATCCCAACGACTTCTTGGTTTATAGCCTGCCATACCCTACACAGGCACGTACAGTGGGAGGAAGTATAAAGTTCCCACGCCACTATCCTATGTATTGTAAAGCAACATTGAGGACTGAAGACTCGTTATTGCCCGAGCCAGATCCCCACTACCCAGGCCTAAGTGATGATGATGAGCATATACAAATAAGAAGATGAAGCGCAGGAATAACGCTCACACTACTTCTAAGGGATCGTCGCCAGCGAATTTTTTACACCCCCCCCCCCGTACGTTACTGCTCAGACGACGTAGGCAGGAAGGCAGGCAGACAGGCAAATAACTTTTTTTTTATCTGGAGACGACGCTCACTTCCTCTTAGTGGGGACATCGGTGGGCCGCACCCATGAATTGACGAGAGATACATCTCCTCGGTCATGTCATGGACTCTCTGGATAGCCCGTTGCTGGTCTTCTTTTTTGTTGCTTGTGAGAAGAGATCGCCAGTCCTCCTCCGTTTAGGGAGACCCGGAGCTCTCGCGTACGACAGGACATTGCCACAGCATGCGTTGGAAAGTGCTACGCAGGTTATTACAGCGAGGGCAGTCTGGCTGTATACCGTCCATATATTTAGAGCACTTCATGGGATAAACGTATGCCTCAGTCTGCAGTTGACGTAACGTGGTAGACTAAGCTCTGGATATAGTTGGACGCGGGAGGGGGAACCTCCGCCGCTCCAATGAATAGTGCTTGAAAATTCCTCGAAAACTTAGGAGTAGATCTTGGTAACACCAAATCGTGTCCTCTGCCTCCGAGTGGCTTTTCCCGGCGTGCAATGTTAGACCTCGTGCCCGGGAGTGCGCCAACTCGTTGGCAGTAAGGATGGTTATATGAACGTTATGGCCAACATGTACCGGGAACCAGATTGGTTCCCGGCACACGGTTGAGCAGTTCAGTTGTCACAAATGTCTTTGTAGACGTCTGGTAAGAGGACATAGTTGTTACAAGATAATGCGGCAACACGAAATAATACCCATTTAAAGAGTGGCCTTCTCACACTCGTCGTCATGCATTATCTTCTCTTTTAGTAAGGAAAGGTTGAGACAAACATCAGTGGTTTGGCATTACAGGAAAGGCGCGGAGTTCCCAGGTACATATATTCACTGAATGTTGTTATTTCACTACTGAACGTTGTGACTGCTCGCTAAATTTACAAAAGAAACTCTATAATTTATTTAGCTCCTGGAAGACGCTTTTATAAGGTGCATTTGTGTTGTGTTTACAGATAGCATCACTAAACCAGGAAAATCTTCCCAATGGCGCTCTTGATAGTGATTCTCATATTCGTAATTGATTATCCACCAATCATGGCATGTGAGTTATGCAACACCTGAAATATTTATTACAATTGCTCTTTACTACAGCGTGTGAAGCGTTCATTTCACAGCGACAAAAAAGAACAAACAGATTTGTTGCATAAACTGTTTAGAGACTGTCTCAAGTTCATTTACGGGACAAACTAAATCCCCTTTATAAACGTATTTTTAAAAAAAAAATAAAGCGTCTGATTCTAAAATCCAGAAGCAATCACTACGGTATCGCGTACCAAGACGAATAGCTTTACTCGTTAAATTCACTCCTATTCTGAGATCGATAGGCAGCGAAAATAGATATGACAAGCCAAACATGATATGGTAATTTGCTTGGCAATGAAGAAAATTTTGAAACCTAAAGTTTCCTGAAGTATTGACTGTGTCTTTTTTGTTTTTTGTTATTTTGTTTGACTGTCGTTCATAATCTTGAACCTTCATCAAATTCATGAGTAGTGTGAATAAAGAAAAGCCTACACTTCCTCAAGCAGCATCTGGAAAATAATAACGGCCCGTCAAAAATGGTTACCAACGTTGTTGCTCTTGGTTTATCTTCTTTAAAAATAGGCCTAAGTTCGTGCGAATTTATACTTCACTGTTCACCTAGTTTTTCGAAGAGTGCGCTGTTGTATGACGCATTGCTAAGAATAATAACATAGCACTTGCGTCAATCAGGAAAGCTACGCAGGCAGCACAGAGGGAAGAGCTACTCAGAATATTTCTTGAGAGCTGCCTTGTATATGCCTGGCGGCAGCTTATCTGTCCTGATTTGGCCCAGTATTGACAGCTTGCCTGAAAGAACAGTGTGTATATTAGGTGTCATTTCTTAGTGACACTAAGGCCCATGTGCTTAGATTTAGGTTCACGTTAAAAAAACTCTAAGTGGTCGAAATTTCCGGAGCCGTCCAATATGGTGACTCTCATAATCATATGGTAATTTTAGGACGTTAAAGTCCACACGTCAATCGAATCTTGGAGACACTACTAGTAATGAAAGTTAGTTAGTAGTATTAAAAAATATGGGCTTGCTATATTTCCTATCATATTCTATATGTATTAATAAATCATTGCGGCCGAGCAGCGTACTTTTCAAGGAACGTTGCTCCCCGGCTGGTCACGTTGTGAAACCAGCCACCGACTGCGCAAGCCATTATTTTCAGATAGCCACTTATCATAGCTTGAAATATACTACCGCCAGGTATAGGGGTGAATTGGGAAATTGTGACATGCACTATGAGCTTAGAAATAGGAGTGTAATATTATTTGCTTCCCAAATAATGGCGTGCAAATGTATTGCTGTTGTAATCCCGTATGAAGTCAATAACTCAATTTGTGAATGGTGTTTTTCCCGCCGTTCGCAGCTCTTGACGACGTGCTGGTAAAATTGCGCTGCAAAATTGAGGTGCCACTTTACGCCCAATGTAGGTGAAATATATTAGCAGCACCACTGTACATACAGTTTATATTGTCACGTGTGTCGCAAGTTAATATATTGCAAATATATTTACGAAATTTGGTGGGCTCAGCGGCTGTGCCATGAAACAGCCGACTAAGCCACTTCTTTTCAACATTTAGGCGTTTGCTTTCGCTTTCATCTCTGCTGCCCTGCCCACTACCATTTCAACCGTCCCGCACGTACCTTCATCTTGCGTGGATCAGCGCACTGGCTACGCACCAGTTGTCCTTCGTCAATCGATGTTAGCCACACCCCAGCTTCCATTGACGACGCCCGGCGGGAGCCTGAGCACCACTGCGTCATAGGAGCTGCCTACGTCACTAACGTCAGCTTTAACAGAGCAACATCCTCAGGCGCCCACCTGTGGGCTCGTTGGCTGTGCCACGAAACATTCAACTAAGCCACTTCTTTTTAACATGCAGGTTAGTCATTCGTACAGCCTTTTTGCAAAAAAATCAGGCGACTGCCTTTTGGTACTGCTACCGAGCCGGCAGTGTTTGCTTTCGATTGTCGTAGAGTGTTCGTGTCTGGCGTTTCTTGCTACTGCTCTCGGGTTACGTTTAAAGTAACCCTGGCCTCGTTGAAAGAAACCATGGTCCCGATCTTAACACAATCCAAACCAAATTGCAGAACTTAATCGCCGGACAATCTCAAATAATGAGCGAGATAAAGGTCTGAAAGGCGAGCTGGTCGAAACCAACAGAACAACATCTGAGCTTACCAAAAGGATGAACTCCATCGAGAACCACTGCCAAAACATTCAAACCCTGCAGCGACAGGTTGAATCAGTTCAAGCAATTGCTTCCGAGACGATGCGAGCTATCTCTGAAATTGAATCGCGAATCGACGACGCTTAAAATCAAGCCCGTAGAAATAACTTAATCTTTTTCAGGATATCCGACCCTGGTTCATCTGAATCTGCTGCTCTAGTGGAAGAAAAAGTCATTCGGTTCTGCGCAGATCACTTGGACATTACTCTGATCCCGGAGCATATCAAGCGCGCGAATCGTCTCGGGCGCCACTGTAATGGTCGCAACTCCCCCAAAATAATAAAATTTTTGTTGTGTAAGATAAAAGGAAAAGTCTTGTCCATTGGCTGCAAACTAAAAGGCACAAACTATAGAATCGGCGAAGAATTTTCTCGCCCTGTGTAAAACGCGCGTAACATCGTTTTGCATTTCCCAGGAGTAATTCGGACCCTTTTTCATTGCGCTACAATACATTGTTCATAGGTTCAACATTGTACATCTATGACGAAAATGCAAAATCCGTAAAACAATTCAAATGACAAACCCTACGGCTGGGTCAAACAACCCGACGTCCGACAACGTCGCCTAGCCCTACCACTATTTTCTCAGCAATCTATACTAACATACAAAGTTTCTTACCCAAACGTGGCATCATATCTGGCGTTGTCCTTTCATCCGGGTGTAGCTTATTATTACTCGCCGAAGCACGGCTAACAGATGGTATTTCCGATGCGGAGGTCGTTGATGATCTACCCGGCTTCAATGTCTTCCACTACGACCGTCAGCATTGCCGGGGTGCTGGAGTACTCATCGCTGTTGAGGATACGTTGCCCTGTTCAATTGTTGCTAACCCAAGTGACCTTGAAACTTTATGGCTGCTCTTTCGTTCAACTCCGCAAGTTATCTTACTTGGTGTGTGCTGCCGTCTCCCTCGAGCAAACAGTGAATTTACTGATAAACTTAACTGTGTGCTAGACACACTAACAAAAATAAACGCAAACACGCGCGTTTTCCTATTCGGTGACTTTAACTTGCCTCATATTAAATGGAATGACAACCCACCGTCGTCACTATACCAAGTCAAAAACAGTTTTCTAGATGTTTGCTTCAATTATAACTTGGCTCAGCTTGTATCGGAAAATACGCGCGTCACACAGGACTCAGCCACCATTCTAGATCTCATTTTAACTAACAATCCTTGCAGTTTATCTTCAATGACTCAACTGAAAGAAATTAATGACCATAAAATGATTCATGCCGCTTTTGCTTTTGCCTTTCCGAAACGAGAATCATGGGATAAAACAATACACTTGTATGACAAAGGTAACTACGATGCGATCAACAACGAACTTATCTCCTTCTACCATATCTACTGTTTCGATTTCCACAACCGCATACTTCAAGATAACTGATCGATAATTCATAGCAAACTTACTGCACTCGCTTCTAAACATATTCTTGTAAAAACTGTCCGGGCCAATCACCATAAACCATGGTTCACAAAAAAGTTAAAAACCCTAAAAAACAAGAAGAAAAGGCTATTTCGCTCCGCAAAGCAACACAATTCCTCTGTGACGTGGAGCAAATAATATGAGACAGAGAAAGACCACCTCTTGCCTGTTAGTCGCGAAAAAGTTTCCTTCTATCATGATACCCTACCCAGTGTATTAGATAACAACCCCCCAAAATTCTGGCAAATCTTGCAACCTAAGGTTCCTGAAACTATCATCCTCACAGATCATAATGACATAATGATCACTGACCAAGAGTGTGCCAATGCGTTTATTGATTGATTTGTGGGGTTTAACGTCCCAAAACCACCATATGATTATGAGAGACGCCGTAGTGGAGGGCTCCGGAAATTTTGACCACCTGGGGTTCTTTAACGTGCACCCAAATCTGAGCACACGGGCCTACGACATTTCCGCCTCCATCGGAAATGCAGCCGCCGCAGCCGGGATTTGAACACGCGACCTGCGGGTCAGCAGCCGAGTACCTTAGCCACTAGACCACCGCGGCGGGGCTGCCAATGCGTTTGACGTCGCGTTTTCGTTTGTGTTTACTACTGAAACTGCCACTCCTGGTCTGTCACCACCCTCACGTTTGCACTCTGTCATGCCACCCATCGAATTCACCGAAAATGACATAATGCTAATAATCGAAAAACTAAAGTTATCATTAGCACCCAGGGTAGACGCTCTCAATTCGAAACTGTTAAAAAATACAAAACATGTCTGCGCATCTTACTTGAATATAATATTTGCGGAGTCTTCATCATCCTCTAGTATTACCATCGATTGGAAGAGCGCGCAGGTCGTTCTGATTTACAAATCAGGAAATGAAAATTCACCTCTTACCAACCATCTAATCTCTCTTACAACTGTACCCTTCAAGATAACGGAACATGTAATCTACACCCAAATCATGCACTTCCTAGACACTGCTAACTTCTTTCACCCTGCCCAACATGGCTTTCGCAAAGGCTTATCATGTGAGACGCAACTTGCCATCTTCACCCATGACTTGCACATTAACCTCGACAGAACCCCCCAGGTTGACGCTATTTTTCTCGATTATGCCAAAGCATTTGACAAGTTACCTCATAAACGGCTATTACTAAAGCTATCCTGTCTGAACTTGCCCCCGACCATTTTAAACTGGATTGCAGAATTTATCTCTAACCGTCATCAGTCAGTGCATGTCAACAATCATACATCCGCACCTATCTCCGTTACGTATGGCATCCCGCACGGAAGTGTCCTGGGTCCCCTACTCTTATTTACATTAACAACCTTCCCC